TAGGGTCACAAAGAGCTGGACACAACTGAGCAACGTAGCACACATGGGTGATTCTGATGCTCTTTCAAGTGCAAAAGCCAGCAATGTAAATCAACAGTAGCTCTGCAGGGTAGCAATTAGAGCCCTTTCTCCATCAGAATCCTACTGGGGCCCCACCATGCTACATTTCACCAAATCTGAGCTGCCATTGATTGTAAGATGCAAAGTTTAGAACATGAGAGAGGAATGCACGGCCAGTTCCTGGTGTGAGAGGCTGCTGACTGGGTCCTGCGAAGTACAAAGGAAGAAAATAATTCATCTGACAATCGATAAAAACAGAATCAAAGCGCAAACAGCACATCTACTGTAACGGATGCAGGTGTGGGAGTTCTGGAGCCCTGGCCCACTTCCTTGCCCTCTGATGGGCCTGGAGAGATGCAGGACTTCGGAAAACACTCCATAAATTACTCCATCAGCGCAGACAAGCCACAGAGTGGAAGGGGTCCACACTAGTTATATAGTCAACCACAGTGAACAACTGACCAGACATCCACGGCTTATAAAGAACCGCTACTGGTCAACAAGAAAAGCCATAGGAAAGACTGGAAAGGCCACTTTGTCAGAGAAGATAACCCAATAGCCAAAAACATGTGAAAAGACACACATTAAAATCACACGGTGGTACAACTGCACACCAGCCACAGTCGCTAAATGAAAAAGGCAGACAATCCCCAGTGCTGGGAAGACGTGATGCAGACAGAGGCTCACCCGCAGCTGTTGGGGAACAAATGGATGCCAACAAGGCAGTGGGCTATCTGCAGCATCTAAGAAAACTGCACACAGAAATAACTTAAAACCCAGTGGTCCCATGCCTTGGTGTGTGCTAACAGCCATGTGCGATCTGTGTACCAAAAGACACACGTCAGGAGGTCCAGAGCAAGCTGGTTCTTTACAGCTGAAAAATAGCAACAGTCGAATACTCGTTTAGAGGCAGAGGTAAGGACGAGGGTCTGCGCGTAATTGAGGGGTCCGTGAACCACAGTCGCCCACGTCACCAGCGATGTCAAATGAAAGGAACCAGGGACAAAGGCAGGCACAGATTCAATGAATTTCAGTAAAGTTCAGAAACAAGGTAAAAACTATTCTTTAGTGTCAGGAGTCCNGAGGGGTCCGTGAACCACAGTCGCCCACGTCACCAGCGATGTCAAATGAAAGGAACCAGGGACAAAGGCAGGCACAGATTCAATGAATTTCAGTAAAGTTCAGAAACAAGGTAAAAACTATTCTTTAGTGTCAGGAGTCCGTTTGGTGGTTAACGGTGGAGGGCAGTGGCTGAAAGCGGCACAAGGTCGGGGAAACTGGGAGCAAACTGGGTCAACCAGCGCTCGGAGTGCTGGATGCATTGGTGCGTCCACTTTGTGAAAATTCATTAAGCTGCACACTTACAGCTTACACTTTTTTTGTATGTTGGACTGTTACATAGAGTTTAAAAGGCAGGAGGAAGAAGACGATGAAGAGGAGGCGTTGGGGAGGAAGAAAAAGAAATCCTAACACTTAGTCGTCTAAATGTGCTTCCAGGATGAAGCTCAGCTTTGCTTCCTGACTGAATTCTCTTTGTGGTAAGGGCATCACGCCCTTGACTTGTAGTTTAACGTGACACTACCAAAAGCATTTCTACAGACCCCTCCGGTATTTACCGTGTGAATATAGGTGAGTGCCTTCAGGGTCCTTTTAATGAGGCTTCATGGGAGAAGTTTCTCTAATATCTCAATTATCTCCACATCCTGAAAAGTTACTCTTTGCTCAAGCAGCAGGGGTGTGTGTGGGTGTGTGTGCCTATAACCCAGACCCAACATGTTTATGGAATATCCTGTTTTTCTTTTTGCTTTGGTTGCTAGGAAGCACTGTGTCAAAATTTCAACCCATTTTTAACAGTTCCACACACCCATTGGGTGTCCGTTCTGCACTGGGGGCGGGGCTGATGTGGTGAGGCCTCCCGGGGCAGTCTAGCTGGGACACAGGAGGTGACCAGGAGGCGCTGGTCAATGCTGTGACACAGGGCCACTAGCAGCCTATAGTGGGGCCTAATGGACCCATGGGCTTCCCAGGTGCTCACTGCTAAGGAATCCACCTGCCAAGTGGAGACACAGGTTCAATCCCCAGGTCGGGAAGATCCCCTGGAGAAGGAAATGGCAACCCATGCCAATGTTCTTGCCTGGGAAATTCCATGGACAGAGGAGCCTGGCGGGCTACTGTCCATGGGGTCGCAAAGAGTTGGACTTGACTTAGTGATGAAACAACCCACCCTTAGAGCGTCAAGGAAGGCTACCTGGAGGAAGCATCATTTGAACTAAGTATGAGGGGACGACCAGATATTTACCAGGTGAGGAGGGTGGAGGGGGAGGTTCGAGGCAGAAGGAACAGCACAGACAAAGGCATGATTTGAGAGTGAGTCTAAGGCCAATGGGAAAGGTCTATATTCTCTTTCCTTGATTTTGTGTATTCTTTGATTCTTGGTTCCCTTTGCTGATTTTCTTAGCTTTAAATTTTTATCTTATTTTTTCAAGACTTCATGCAGCTTTCTGCAACCATGTGTGATACAAAGACAAAAGAGCCCAAGCAGAATACTCTGCGGGTGTTGACACAAGCATTCGTAGTTTGGGCCTCAGGAGCCTGGCTCCCTCCCCTACCTCCAGTGTCCCATGAGCTGGAGCTCCAGATGCTAGAAATGCTCACCTCCTCCTTCTCTCCAAGTCTCCCCCAGCCGCTGACACATTGCAAACCCCCAAGTCCGACCTGACAGCTCGTGATGGATTACTGCATAAAATGTCAGCTCGAAGGGAAGGAACTTCTGCCGGGAAGCCACCGACATTCCCCACCAGCCCACAGCTCTCCGACAGCTTCTGTTCTACTCATGGTACTTCCAGAAAGAGGGGTCAGGTGCTGGCTCTCTGGAGCCTCAGTGGAGAATGTGAGGCATTCAGGTGTCATTCCCTCTCCTCACAGTCTCGTCCACGAGAGGCCAGATTCTCCCCCTGGTGTGCCGGAGACCCTCCTTTCCAGGAGCCCCTGCCCCTCACCTGACCATGAGGGTGGACCGCCAGGGAATTCCCCATCTTGATTTCTGAGGTTTTCAGGGCTCCCTTAAATCTTGCCCCCTAGTTGAGTGCTTGGCTCACCCTAGTCCCAGCTGCCTGTCTCCAGGAAGCCCTGGTACGTCACAGCGTTCTGCTGAAGTTCAGGTGGAGCTCATTCAGTCCCTTCTTCATTCCCTTGTTCATCAGATGTATCTGAGTACCTTCCATGTGATAAGACTTTCAACCAGACCCCTTGGATACAGCCAGGGACAAGGCAAAGTCCCTGTCCTTACAAAGTCTCCAGGCCAACAGAGGGAGACAGACCCCAAGTAGATAAGCGTGCAAACTAGCTTTCAGATGGTGGAGTGCCGCAGGTATTAAACAGAGGGAGGTGACGGGGAGGGACGTCAGGTGGGGGGTGATATTACGTAAGTGGTCAGGGAGGACGTCTGTGGACTGAAAAGTCTGAAGCTAGATCTGAACCGTGTGATGCACCCCTCTCTGTGCAAATCTGGAGGAAAGGCAGAGGCAGCCAGTGCAAAGTCCTGAGGCAGCGCGAGAGACTGTCTCAGTCCAGAGCAAAACCAGAGCTTCCTGTGCTTGCACGGCTGCGGTGGTGTCATGCTGACAATAGTGCTTGGTTTGGTTGATGGCTAGCAGGGATTATAATTAGGTTCACCAGCAAAAGACAACAGTACTCAATTCTTTTTCTTCAGCACTTTGTTTTTTAAGGGCAGTCCATATTGGTTCTTATATCTCTGGCTGAAAGGCCTTTTCTTCTATAAAGAGCCAGAGAGTAAATATTTTTAATCTTTGCAGGTCACACAGTCTCTGTCACAAACTGCTCAAATCTGCCTTCGTAGCATGAAAGCAGCCAGAGATTGTACAGAAGTGAATGGGTGTGGCTCTGCCAATAAAACTTTATAAAGAACCGGTGGTGTGAAATGGGTTTGCCCTGTGGGCCATAGTTTGCCCATCTCTTTATTCATCTTCACTGTATTTCACTAACAAGATGTGTTCATCCATTCTGTCAACAGACTCCCTTTCTGGTGCTTACGTTCTCCAACATGAGACGCGCTGCTGCTGTGAGCGCCTCGTCGTTTCATTTCTGTAGGAGAGGTTCTCCAGTATGTGAACCTGGAAGTGGGACTGCTGGGCCACAGGGTACAGGCAGCTTCAACTCTCAGAGATGATGCTAGACCGTTCAAGAGCCATGAGATCAATTTACACCCACACCAGCAGCCTGAGTTCCTGCTGCTGCGCACTCCTGTCGCCAGCGCTTGGCGACATCAGACTTTAGGATTTTGCCCACTTCAAGCATTAAGTGATACCTGTTGTGCTGTTAATGTACATTTTCCGATGGCTAGTTACTAGAGCATCTTTTCATGAGTTTATTGGCCATTTGCATTCCTGATCATTTAAACTCCTGAAATGAGTTCCCCTGCTGAGAACTGCCAATTTCTAATTTTTGTCCCCCCCGCCCTTTTTTTACTGGAGTGTTTACCTTTTCCCAATTGATTTGAGGAAGTTCTTTACATATTCTGGTTACTCTCTATCAGTTGCATGTGTTGCAAATTTCATCTTCAAGTACGTGGTGTGTCTTTATTTTATGCTCTGACAATCAGAAGTTGATCACCTTATTGGGGTCACAGTGATCGTTCTCCCCTGCGAGCTGTGCTTTTGTGACTGATTTAAGCAATTCTTCCCTTGGGAGCCACATGACATGGCTTTGAGACCCATCTCTACACTTGCTGGTTGTGGGGATGGGGGAAGGCACTTAATACCCCAGTGCCCGCGTTTCCGCCTCTGTAAAAGTGGGGAGCGGAGTGGCATGAACCTCACAGGGTTACTCTGAGGAGTCTCGAAGGCACTGAGCACCATGCTGGGCTCACTGTCACCTTCCCCATCAACAGACCTCCCCCCGAGCAGGACGGAAGGGGGTACCTTGCTCTCCAGCAGGTCTGCGTTCTGCCGGAGTTCATTCCGAGACTTCTCTGACTTCTCTAGCTTCTGCCTCAGTGCTGTGAGCTCCGCCTACAAAAGCAAACACAGTAACAGAAGCCATTCTGGACTGGAGGTGTAGGTTCCACATGTGTTAAGAGTGGCCAGCAAATGCAGTGGGTGATTCAGCCAGCCGATCTGTGATGACGGCCATTTCTGAATATGATCATCTCTGCTCAGGCAAGCCCAGTCCATACCAGCCTGGACCAGCGTCTGGAACAAGCCCACTGTTTATTGAGACGGGGCATACCCGAGTGAGACAGGGCCCTCCTGAGTGACAGGGGGCACCCAGCTCTTCATCTTCCCCAGTTGCCACATCTGGCCAGGGGGTCGTCATGAGGTTTACAACACTACTGTCAGGAGCAATTGAAATGCTCACCCACTGCAGGCCAGTGGAATGAACCATGAAACGCACACCCCAAGGAGGACCACATGGCCATGAGAAGGGAACGAGAAAGATTTCTATAAAAGTGGGACCCACGTGACAGTACATAAATGCAGCAAATTAATATGTTGTATGCCTTAACTTTACAATGCCGTAGGTCAAACATATTTCAACTAAAAATTTTAAAAGACAATCCAAAAATATGGATGTGGCACGGTTCTTAAAATCTATTTTGAAGTGAAAAATGCAAGTTGCAGAAGAATATATAGTATGCCACCTTTTGTGTAAGAAAGAAACCACTAGTTCTATGTGTGTGTGTGTGTGTGTGTGTGTGTGTGTGTGTGGGTGAACGCACACATGTGCGCCCACGTGTGTACATGTATACCTTGCTTCATTGTGCTGGGCTCTGCAGATACTGCATTTTTTACAAATTGAAGGTTGGTGGCAACCCTGCGGTGAGCAAGTCTATTTTCCAAAAGCATTATCTTTTAATTAAGGTATGCAGATTTTGGGGGACCAAATGCTATTACACACTTAACAGACTATAGTACAGTGTCAATGTAACTTGTATAGGTCCTGGGAAGTCACCCAATTAATGTGACTCACTGTGATATCCGATTTATCTTGGCAGCCTCGAACTGAAGCTGCACTATCTCCAAGATATGCCTACATTTGCTCATTTTGGCCAAAAGTAACAACAGGCAGGATAAATCAGAAACCAATCAGAACAGTTTCCCTGGTGGCTGAGTGGTAAAGAATCTACCTGCCAAGGCAGGAAACCCGAGTTCAATCCCCATGTTGGAAAGAACCCCTGGAGAAGGAAATAGCAACCCACTCCAGTATTCTTGCCTGGAAAATCCCATGGACAGCAGAGCCTGGTGGGCTGCAGTCCATGGCATCACAACGAGTCAGACACGACTGAGCAAGTAAACAACAATCAGAACAGTTACCTGCATCAAGTGGGTGCTGACGGGGTTGAAGGGAGGGTAGGGAGTGTCCTCTGAGATACAAAGATAAACGGCTCACGAACTCGCCCGCAGACCTCTCTGGGAGGAGTGGAAGCACACGCTCCCACACCCGAGGTGGAGTGCCTGCCTCTGACTGGCACCCACTCACCTACCGAGGAGCTGGGCACCAGGTGGAGGAAGGCCGTGCCAGCTGGGGCAGAGGGATGTCTGTAAAGGGGCAGCGAGGGCTCGTGGTGGAGCAATCCTGGATGAAGGATATCCTGGGCTGGGGGCGCTGGGTCTGGATGCGAGCACCAGGGAGCGGCTGGAGGGGGCCGGGGGAGTGGGGATCGCCCTGCCCACCGTGTGGACCCACCTCCTTAGCGCGGAGCTGCTCCTCTCCGACGGTGGCGCTCAGCAGGGGCCGAAGGGAGCCCAGCAGCCGCCACCACCGCCAATCCCTGACCGCCAGGAACACAGCCACATTCTTCTGGATGCACCGGGCGGCCAGCCGGTGAATCTGCAGGGGATGAGAGTGCAGACTGAGGGCCCTTCCCAGCTCAGCTGAAGGAGGCAGAGGGCGAGGGGCAAGGGGGGGTGGAGGATATCGGTTTATCCTTAGTGGAAAGGATAGGGAACTTTAAAAAAAAAAGGCTTCCTTTAATGGAGTCAGGCTGTCAGCATCAGGCCACAATCTAGTCTGGAATAACTAATAATAACAATAGGATAAGGAGTAGAAATACTATACAATGGGGTCACCTCTCACATGAGGATTAGGCTCAAAAGTCACCGTGCAAGACAAGACTCTCCTGGAAAATTCCTGAAACCTGCTCACAAGAAGCAGTGGCCCTGATGATGCTGCCGGTTGATATTTAAGGAAGAGATACTATTTTCAGTGCATTTAAACACAAGTCCATGCTTCTCACTGTTGAATGTGCATCAAATCTCCAGGAGGGCTTGTAAAAACATTGATGCCTGGGTTCCAGCCCAGAGTGTCTGATTCAGTGAGCCTGGGGCAGGGCCCGAGAATCTGCATCATGCACAAACTCCTAGCTGATGTGGATGCAGCTGGTCTGGGGACCACACTTTGAGAACAGCTGACCTAGGTCGTTCTAATCAGAGGTGGGAATCAAGCTGAGTAAGAAGCCACCATCACAACAGCCAAGGCTTGCTCAGCTGGCACAGTGCCTCCTACAGGCCAGACACAACCTGGAGCATCTTACAGAAGCTCAGTCCTCACTACCGCACTACAAAGGTAGGTGTTTTTATCATCCCCATTTTACAGATGGGAAAACCGAGGCACAGAGCGGTACAGTCACTCGTCCAGTGTCACACAGCTTCTCAGAGGTTGAGTCAGGATCTGAACCCCTGCAGTGTCACTGCAGACAGAGCCCAGGCTCTTAATTAACCTGTTTCAAATTGTTCCACGGCATAAACAACCTGAGTACAACGGGCCGGTGAAACAGCTCACAGTATTTTCATTATTAATCTTCTTGCCTTTTTCTGTTCTCACCAGGTACGTATTTGTGAGTTTACATGTTCACAGAAGCTGGGGCACGTGCTCTAAGACTCTGTGCTGGTGGCAGTAATTAAGACCACCACTAGGGCAGTGGCAGCTGGTATTATTACTGAGCAGTTACCACGTGGCAGCCCTGCACTACGTGCGTGCTATCTCATGTCGCCTCCACTCAGCGACTGCGTGGTAGAGGTGAGATTCAAACATGGTTCCTATTCGCCTCCAGAGCCATGCTGTGTTCTCCATCATGCAGGCTGCAGAGAGGAGACTCAGTCTCTGGAGAGGTCTGAGGATGGTAGCCTAGAGTGGTTCAGGACTGCAGACTCCGACCCTGCCCTCTGGTCCTAAAGGCCTCCATGGATAGGTCCTGCCCATGCCCTGTCTGACCCACGGCAGCCAAGTTCTTCAGAGATGGGACAGCCTGAAATCATTTCCAACCCAGGAGGGCTTGGACAACCTTTGGACATCCTGATCAAGGTTCTCACCAGTGGTGATTTGATGTCAGTTCAGTTCAGTTGCTCAGTCGTGCCTTTGCAACCCCACGGACTGCAATACACCAGGCCTCCCTGTCCATCACCAACTCCCAGAGTTTACTCAAACTCACATCAACATGCTAGAAACAGCTGCATCATCTTACAAAGTGTCTGTTAAAGTCTAGGACAGAGTGTGGGCACCAGCATGGGAGGCGGGCAGACCTCCTTGCCCACCCCAGACTCACTGGACCATGATCCGCATGCCAACAACATCCCACTGGAGATTCATGCCCAAGAGCAAGTGTGAGAAGCAGGGATGACAGCCCCTGGACCACCGTGGGGACGCTCTTCCAGATCCCACGCCCCTGCTGGGTTCACGTGACACTCAGTGCCCCCACCTTCAGCTTCTTGAGTCCCTGGCGAGACAGAAAGCCCCTGCAGGCCGCCTGGAACAGGACGATGCTCTGAGACACCAGCTTTTCCCGCTGCCTCTCCAGCCTGGACACCACACCCGCCTTGAGGAAGACCTGGAGAGAGGGAAGGCGGCAGGTGACTTTCTGCAAATGCAACAGACTGTCTCACATGGGAGGGCTGCAGCTCAGCCCTACTTCTGTATCCACCCAGGATGTTCGTGAGCAGCTGCCCTGGACCAGGGTTCTAAATGGTCAAAGCACTTTGTCTCCCGAGGCCTCCTCTTTCCCTCAGCAAACGTGCCTGAGTTCCCCTGGAGACTGCCGACACACCAGTCCCAATTCAGCAGGTCTGGTGTGGGGCCCTCGGTCCTGCTTCAGAAAGAGGGGCAGAGAATGCGGGGAAGTGGGGGCAGCCCTTCTCGGTCAGAAGAGGATGGGGCTAGGCTGGAGCTGCCCGCAGGAGGAGCGCAGGCATCGAGCGGAAGACAGCTGGAGGTTCACAGTTCCCGGCCTCAGCTCGTCAATAACGAATGGGGGCTCCCGCGGCAAAGTGATCAATGCATTCTCAGCTCCCACAGGGCTGCCCCTGAGAGCCTGCGGGGAACAGCAGAGGGTTTTCAGAGTGAACCTGAAGCTCTGGGGCCAGGCCAGCCTTGGCCAAGGCACTGGGGTCACTGCGGTTGGTGTCGCCTCCCCAGAGGCAAAGGAGAGACACTCCCATGCTGTTCATTTTCTGAGCACAGTCTCATGCGTTACTTTGCCAGATGCGGTTTATAGCCCCGAAGGTGGCCAGCCGCTGGAGAGTGCCATCTTAATCACTGATACTGTCAGGTAATCTCGGGCATTATCCATTAACGGCTAACATGGATGGAGCCCTCCTGTGTTCTGGATCTGAACCAGATGTTTGATATGCAGGCAAAACACTTGACATGGAGAATCTTAGATGGTAGTTACCACAAACCCCCCATTTAAAACATCTTTTTTGGCTGCACCGTGTGGCATGTGGGATCTTAATTCCCCAACCAGGGATCAACCCCAGCCCCCTGTGCTGGCAGCAAGAAGTCTGACCCACTGGACCACCAGCAGTGTCTAATCCCCACGTTTGGTGGAGGGAGAACCTAGGGCTAAAAAAGGCATGTTTTTGCCCAGAGCCTCCACTGCCAAACGGTAACACCAGGATTTACTTCCCTCTCTGACTCCAGAGGAGACCACGGTTGTCACTGAATGTAATTAACATTTGCATGGCTTCAGCATTTTGAGAAGCTCTTCTCCTATGTCCCATTTTAACTTGAGTTCACGTGGCTGGTGAACAGCAAAGCTGAGACTTGGTCCGGGAACCTCAAGTCCACCTCCTGCACCCATTCACATTGTCGGCATGAGGAGCTTTCATCTCCTGGTCACGCGGTACCCAAACATCAGGGGTTTGTGGCCGAACAGTATTCTGATTCCAGGTGGAACCAAGGGTCTCTGTCAAGTCTCCATCCCCTTAAACCTGTTTTCTGTAACCATGACCAACCACTTGGCCAGCCCCGAGGCAAACCTTTTCTCGGAGAGAAGGTGGAGATTAGTGCACCCCATCGCTGCTAATCAACTCTGTTCTGTAACCCTCATCGCCTTACACAACACTTCCTTTGAGCCGGGCTGCCAAGACAATCAGCCTCGTTGAAACAAAGACACGATTGACTCATTACCTATCAGATTGCCTCAATAATGACTGTATTAATTTCACAAGCTAGTGAGTCCCAAAAGCTGCTGTTAAAAAAAAAAATCAATGATCAAAGTGATGACAGCACTAGTCCGTATATTACAAAAGTCAGCAGGCGCTGCCAAAACTGTTATTGATTAAGTATGAAGCTTTCATTAAAAAGATAATTGGAAACGACCATACACAGAATGGGAATAAGTCATCGCCTCGGTAGAATCTTGATTTTTTTTTTCTTTTCTTTTCTCTTTTAAGAGCACATCGTCGCCCAGGAGGCCAACGGCATGTGGAATCCCACCTTTTTCATAAATGTCACGGCCCTTGGCACAGGCCTCAATAAGGCACTGGGGACTGAGAATGACAAAGGAAAATCTAAATGATTCACTTTTGTGGATCCATCTGCTTATCGGACCCAAGCAGAGTGTAATGTCCCAACATCCCTGTCTGAATGGGATCTCTGGGAGCCACTGTTAGGCACACTGCTTTTGCTCTCAAGGTGCTGCAGGCCAAGGTTTCAACATCTAATGTGGCCATGGCTCTCCTGTCTAATACTGCGGAGAAATGAGCTATTCTCTCTTAGTAATTTTCCAGATGAGAGGAGATCAATTCTTTAAACATTAAAATGTTACCCTGTTTGACAAGCATCCTGCCCCTGCTGGCAAATGCCTACCACAAACAATGCAGACCACCCCTGTCAAATGACAATGTACTGATCCCCACAGCCGACTTGGGAGGTAGAAAGTAGGGGGTCCATTTTAGAGACGGGGGAACTGAGGCTCAGAGAGACTAAATCACTTACTCCACATTCGCACTCTGAGGCAGTGGTGGGGCCTGGGTGTGGACCAGATCAGCCTGTTCTCTCCTATTCACAGACTTCCCATCTATGAAGCGATGAATCTGACAAAGCATGGGACCTGCATCTGCCCTTAAAGATGGCAGTCTGTCACCACACCTGGCTTCCAAAAGGATACATGGACTTTGACATGCTCTGGATGGTTTCTTAGTGAATGCCAAGTATGACTCAATATTCATCCTGTTTTATAATAGGATGTTCTGGCTTGCAGACCTTTTGTCTCACCACCCTGAGACTGTGAATAGTGACTTTTTATTTGGCTCTTTTCTTCCTTACTCTGCATTAGTTGCTGGGGTCACAGAAACTCATGAAATAACTAGGCACTTATCTAAACAGGGGTTCTACAACCTAAGCATGTACTGGGATCCCCTAGAGAGCCTGTTACAACTCAGACTGTGGGGTTCCACCTCCAGGGTTTCAGAGTCAGTGGTCTGGCTGGGGTGGCGTCACCTGAGAACGTATGTTTTTAGGAAGCTCTCGGGCAATGCTGAGGCAGCTGGTCCAGGGATCACACTTTGAGAACCTCTGCTAGTCTAAAAGGATGATGTTCTTGGAGCTGGAGAAGAATTCCTCTGATTAAAGAATTTGCTGTATATTTCCATTAATAAACAATAGAATCACAGCATATTGAAAAGAATGTGGGAGGACTTGCCTAGCAGTCCAGTGGTTAAAACTCCATGCTTCCAATGCAGGGGCCATGGGTTCAATCCCTGGCTGGGGAACTAAGATCTCATGTGCTGTGGGTGTGACAAAGGAAAAAAAAGGAAAAGAACTTGGGCTTTGGACTGGTACACATTTCCATGGGAGCTGTGCTCTGGATCCTGAGAGGAACTGGAAAAGGGGCTGACTTCCCAGGGGTACAGTTTCCTCATAGTGAAGAAGGGATATTATCATCATCTCAACAGAGCCCATGAGGGGAAAAGAGGAATAACATATGATGTTGCTTAGCACAGCACCAGCCTTATGGTGGGGCCCAGTAACCCATGGGTTTATCTCCTCCGCTGGAAACATCCACAGAATGTCCTATGGACCAATCAGGTTGGGACCACAGCAGACTAACAGCTTCCACCACAGGCTTTGGCAGGGCCAGGAAGCCTGTGGGGAGAGGCTGGTGGATCTAGGGGGCAAGGACCAGGGTGAATGACTGTGAGCTCTCCGAGGAAAGAGGCGTGATGGGGCAGGGCACTTAACTCTGATAAGAGGCACTCAGGGCCAATAGTGGCCCAGGATGGGCTTCTGGAAACCAGGGTCCTGACCCAGAACTGTACACAGTACCTAAACATGGAAGGCAATTGACAAGGGTTTCCTGGATGACGTTAACCACTCAGAAGGTAACTAGGTGGGGAAACGGCCCCCTAGTCTCCCCCGTCTCCAGTTTGTATTCCTAAATGTTGTCCCCAGTCTCCTCCCACCAGCTGGCCCTTGAGTCTGCAAACTCTGTAGCTCACTCCCCACACTATGACCCACTCACTCTGGGAGGTGGTAATGGGTCTTCCACTGAATCAAGTGGGTGAAGGCCCCAGGGTCAAGTTATCTGGGGAGCCCTGAACACTGTATGTTCCCTCATGAAAGCTCAGAGGATGCCTTGAGCACATGAGGGCTCCATGAAATTCTTCTCTAAGCTTTTAAACTTTTTCTGAAGGGCTTCTGGCTCAACACCCATTTGGAGACATCTGTGTCCCTCAGCTCTGAAATTATACACCTTCTTCTCATGCCCTCCCCTCTCACTTACTGCTGCTAATCTCTAAGACTACCAGCTGTGTTACATGTGGTTGCAAAGAAAAAGTTACAAGGCTCCGAGTAAAGGTGGGCCTTTCTGAGGTTCAGAAAGTTCTACTAAGGTCCACATGTTAACTCTGCAGACTGACGAGGTCCCTGAGAGTGTCACCTCTAAACAGCATATTGAAAAGAATGTGGGAGGACTTGCCTAGCAGTCCAGTGGTTAAAACTCCATGCTTCCAATGCAGGGGCCATGGGTTCAATCCCTGGCTGGGGAACTAAGATCTCATGTGCTGTGGGTGTGACAAAGGAAAAAAAAGGAAAAGAACTTGGGCTTTGGACTGGTACACATTTCCATGGGAGCTGTGCTCTGGATCCTGAGAGGAACTGGAAAAGGGGCTGACTTCCCAGGGGTACAGTTTCCTCATAGTGAAGAAGGGATATTATCATCATCTCAACAGAGCCTATGAGGGGAAAAGAGGAATAACATATGATGTTGCTTAGCACAGCACCAGCCTTATGGTGGGGCCCAGTAACCCATGGGTTTATCTCCTCCGCTGGAAACATCCACAGAATGTCCTATGGACCAATCAGGTTGGGACCACAGCAGACTAACAGCTTCCACCACAGGCTTTGGCAGGGCCAGGAAGCCTGTGGGGAGAGGCTGGTGGATCTAGGGGGCAAGGACCAGGGTGAATGACTGTGAGCTCTCCGAGGAAAGAGGCGTGATGGGGCAGGGCACTTAACTCTGATAAGAGGCACTCAGGGCCAATAGTGGCCCAGGATGGGCTTCTGGAAACCAGGGTCCTGACCCAGAACTGTACACAGTACCTAAACATGGAAGGCAATTGACAAGGGTTTCCTGGATGACGTTAACCACTCAGAAGGTAACTAGGTGGGGAAACGGCCCCCTAGTCTCCCCCGTCTCCAGTTTGTATTCCTAAATGTTGTCCCCAGTCTCCTCCCACCAGCTGGCCCTTGAGTCTGCAAACTCTGTAGCTCACTCCCCACACTATGACCCACTCACTCTGGGAGGTGGTAATGGGTCTTCCACTGAATCAAGTGGGTGAAGGCCCCAGGGTCAAGTCATCTGGGGAGCCCTGAACATTGTATGTTCCCTCATGAAAGCTCAGAGGATGCCTTGAGCACATGAGGGCTCCATGAAATTCTTCTCTAAGCGTTTAAACTTTTTCTGAAGGGCTTCTGGCTCAACACCCATTTGGAGACATCTGTGTCCCTCAGCTCTGAAATTATACACCTTCTTCTCATGCCCTCTCCTCTCACTTACTGCTGCTAATCTCTAAGACTACCAGCTGTGTTACATGTGGTTGCAAAGAAAAAGTTACAAGGCTCTGAGTAAAGGTGGGCCTTTCTGAGGTTCAGAAAGTTCTACTAAGGTCCACATGTTAACTCTGCAGACTGACGAGGTCCCTGAGAGTGTCACCTCTAAAAAATGATATTCCTCAATGGTCTGTCCATCCACACTTACCACATTTTATCTTAACAGCCTTGCAATATAAGGAGGGCAGAGAGTCACTAGCCCTGTGTTCAGCTGAGGGAAAAGGAGACACGCAGAAGTAGCGGAAGCTGAGGACAAGAGTCAGGTCTCACGTGGGTCCCTGATATCATAGGTAGAACGGCAAACAAAGGCGCTCTACTCACCTGGCTGTGCCCCATGGCCACGGCCTTCTTCTCCAGGTCCAGTGTCTGCAGGAGCTGCGCCACGGCCTGGGAAGGAGAGGAGAGTTAGAGGGGAAGACAGGCTGCTGGCTGGAGACTCCCAGAGTGGATGGCCAGCTGGCTGGAGGGCTGATAGATACCCGGAGAGCGCAGATATCTCCCATGTCTTTGAGCTACCAGAGTTCCACCTCCCCAGCAAAGTGCAGAGATGGGCATGGACTGGGTACTGACTCTGTGCTCTCCACCCTACTGAGACCTTCACAGACACCATCTCACTTCACCCTCTCGGCAACCCCAGGAGGTTCATCACACTAGCACACCCACTTCACAGAGGAGAGAACCACAGACGCAAAACTAAATGGAGGATGTGTCTGCTATGGAAAACAGTATGGTGAAACCTCAAAAAATAAAACATATAATTACCATATGATCTAGAAATTCCACTTCTGGATATATACCCAAAAGAACTGGAAGCAGGGACTTGAACAGATTCTTGTACACACTCAGTTCATACCAGCATCATTCATAGTAGCCAAAAGGTGGAAGTAACCTAAGTGTTACTAAACTCAGTGGTGACTGCGGCCATGAAATTAAGAGACACTTGGTTCTTGGAAGGAAAGCTATGATGAACCTAGACAGCATATTAAAAAGCAGAGACATCACTTTGCTGACAAAGGTCTGTCTAGTCAAAGCTATAATTTTTCCATTGGTCATGTATGGATGTGAGAGTTGGACTATAAAGAAAGCTGAGNAAATTCATAGAAAGTGTCCATAGAATGATGGCTGCCAGGGGCTGGGGTGACGGGGATGGGAAGTTAGTGTTCAATGGGTACAGAGCTTCAGTCTTGCAGAAAGAAAGAGTTCTAGAGAAGGACTGGGGTGATGGCCACACAGGAGTGTGAATACACTTAATATTGCTAAACTGCACATTTAAAAATCTCTAAAATGCTGAATTCTATGTTATGTATATTTTGCCATAAAAAAAAAAAAATGAAATGAAGGGAATTCCCTGGGTGTCCAGTGGCAAAGACTCCACGCTCCCAAAGCAGGAGGCCCGAGTTTGACCCCTAACTAGATCCATCTGCCACAACTAAGAGTTTGAAACTAAGACCCAGAGCAGCCAAATAAATAAATATTACAAAGACAAAAACAGAATGAAGGCATTTCCCCAAGGTTATAAGTTACACGAACCAAATTCGAATCAGGGTCTGTCAGGCCACACTGAAACCTCTCTGTCTGCACTGCTGCCCAGGCCCAGGACAGGGGCAGAGGGCCCTAGGCCACTGGGAAATTCACTCCCGTGACAGCCACCCCAGCACCCTGTCCTCTTACCCACTGGCCAGGGACGGCCTGACTCTCCCGAATATTTGCTGAATCATGACATGGGCACTAACCCTGTGTTCCTGGCCTAGATGAGGGAGGGAGAGTCCATGTTTAATTCATCAGTTTCCTCTACCGCATCTGGTATAAAGCAGGAGCTCAATAAATACGATGCGATCCAGTGAGGGTGGAAGCAGGGCAGGTTGGAGTTGGGGAGTGTGGAGAAAGGCAACGCCCCCTTCAGGAGAAACAAATTCACCTGAGATCCCTAGACCCTGCCTTGGCCAGGCCACCAGCCATTTAATGGAATCTGGCTCAGACAGTAAAGAATGTGCCTGCAATGTGGGAGACCCCAGTTCCATCCCTGGGTCAGGAAGATCCCCTGGAGAAGGGAATAGCTACCCACTCCAGTATTCTTGCCTGGAGAATCCCTTGGACAGAGAAACCTGGCGGGCCCCAGTCCAAAGGGTCACAGAGAGTCAGACATGACTGAGTGACTAACACTTTCCCTTTCCTCTTGTCACAGAGGCTGCAGGCCCTGGAGCAATCCTGTCAAGAGATCTGTACCCTCGGACAAACGCAGGTCCAGCCTAGTCCCCTTGTGACTCCAATTCCCCTCCTGCTCCACCCCCATGCCAACCCTCTTGGACTTCCCATTCACTGAAAACCACCAAGTCTATCTACAGAATAAACTGTCAGAAAAGTCATTGTGACATTCCACGAAGAAAAAGGTATTCTGAGACAGAGTAATTTGGTAGATGAGTTTCAATTCCACGGATCATAGCATCACAGAAAACTTTCCAAGACACACACAAAAGAGAAAATGCTTATTAAAAGTCCAGACCAAGTCTGTAATCTGGGGGGAAGTTTCCTCCTCTGACCTCCAAGAACATTCCATAGTGCCCCCTCCAAAAACTCAGTGGTTTCACTTATTATTACATTTTAGCCAAAATTGCTCCCAGGGAGCTACAGGCAGCAAAATGCAAAAAACCAACATATCCAGAAAACGTTTTTTCCTCTCTGCACAAGAGGAAAACAAAATAAAAACTGAGAAGCATTTATTCAAGAGAAACTACTGGGCCTTTAAGAATGGTGGTAAGCTTGTGGTAACTGTGATCAAGACCCTTGCACTCCCACCAGGCTCTGTCACTGCAGGGGTCCCACTGGGGTGAGGCAAGCAATGAAAACTAGCTGCTTTGCTGCCGGAAGAGGTTCACGTACACGGAGCAAAGTGCGGAGAAATCCCACACCAAGAACCATCGTCAGAAGCAGTGAGTGATCTTGGCACCAAACTAATGGAGAAGGTCAATGGCACAGCTAGCCTAACACTGTTTTCTGAGAGGGGCAAGCAGTGGACCAGTGATCAGCCAGGTCCCCCTAACAAGAAGACACTGGGAATGGGGCGTGGGAATATGAGGCCATGTGCTGCTGCTGCTGCCACGTCACTTCAGTCATGTCCGAGCGCTCAGGCAGAAAATACGGGGGAGAACCATACAGAAAGTAAAATCTGTGGCACAACTATAAATGCCTGAATGCTGGATACATTTTCCAAACCACACAGATCACTGTAAAATCACTGTAAAAAAATCAGATAAAAGCGTCACACATTCAAGATGTTTGACCACAACCTCTGCTGACCACTAAGCTGTGCTGGCCTGGGGTCAACCCTTGAGAATCCACAATTTCTAATAAAAACAAGAATTTTTAAGACGTGAACAGAGACAGTAGCGGTCTCACACCACAGGGGAGACAAACTATAAATCTAGTCCTATTAAGTTACTAAGCAACTAGGGAAGGTTGGGATCTAGAGATACAATATTTTATTATCAAAAATGTCCTGTTTTCAACAAAAAATTACAAGACATGCAAAGAAATTAGAAAGTGTGACCTATGTTCAAGGAACAAACCCCCAAAATCAGTCACAGGAAACCCTCTCAGGGTGTAGATGCCTTTAAAAAGCCTTCTAGACAGCTCTCACAAGGCACATAACGGGCTTAATTAACTCACCATTCCTGGCACATGCTGAGTTTCCATACGGACTAGTAGGTGGCGGAGGCTCTGAGGTTAAAAGTCCCTCGGGGGCACTGTGGCGTGATGACACGCCCTCACCCTTCACCACTCTGGGCTCAGACTGCTAGGCCCCGAATGTACCCGGGAGACCCAGCTCAGCCTCCAGTGACAGGCTCCCCGTGTCCTCCAACTGTGCACAGAGGTGTCTCCCCAATATTTAACGAGGATGCCCCCGCCCCCCAGAAAAGCACACAGTCTGGCATCTCACATTAAGCTGCACATGCCAGACCAGCAGCGGAAGACTCCAAGAACCACAAAGGGCGGCGGCTGGGAAGGGCTCCCTACTCACACCTCCACCCCTCCATGGTTCGCGCGATGCAGGGATCCACGGCTGTGGGAATGGACGCTCTCCTGACCACCCTGCTGTCAGGACAGCACCTCCTCCAGAAAACCCACACCGTGGCCCGATGGCTGCCATATGCTGGGCACCTACTATGTGCCAGGCACTGCTATTTCCTGTCACACACTGCCCCTGGTCATGCAGCTATCAAGCATCAAGGGGCACAGATGAATGGAAAGAGAGATGGCAGAAACCAGGATTTGAGCCCGAGTCTGTCTGACTCTAAACCACGTGCTTTTAACCACCAAAACTTTCACATGCTGATCAAAACATTCCATAAAGGTTAGGATTACGTCTCTGTTCTTTATAGTTTCATGATTATAAATAGTATGTCTGGCACGAAACACAAGCAATATGGACAAACATATAAATAAAAAACACACATATTTGTATAACTGGGTTGGTTCACACTAAACAGAAAACAAGCAGAATCTTTAAAACAGTAGACCCAAACTGGAAGAGGATGGCAAAGTGAGAAAGTCAAGAACGATGAATAAATTCCGGAGGGCTAGGGCTAAGGCTATGGGAGGGCTTACCAGGTGGCTCAGTGGTAAAGAATCCACCTGCCAATGCAGGAGACACAGGTTCGATCCCTGGGTCGGGAAGATCTCCTGGAGAAGGAAATGGCAACCCACTCCAATATTCCTGCCTGAAGAATCCCATGGACAGGGGAGCCTGGTGGGCTACAGTCCATGGAAGTAAGGAAGAGTGGACACAACTGAGTGACTAAGCAGGCATGCACACAAACAAGGCCACGGGGGGCCTGAACAAATCCTTTGGCACCTTAGAATGGACAGCTTCCTCTCTTCCTCTCCCCACCCAAGGCCCCCAGCCATAGGCTCATGGGAACCTCTCCAAAAGAGAAAAGGACTCCGGGACAAGTTCAGAGGAAATCAGGAGTATCCACCAGGGTCTGAGATGGAACAAGAGTGGCTGCCTTTGAGAAGACAGGCATGCCATAGTTGTGTTCAGATCAAGTCCTTGGGGACAGAGATTTGATGGCTAGAATCAATCCTCACTGTAGACACTCTGAAGGGAAGAGGGGACCGGGGGTTTCCTGTCATCCATCAGGGAGACCTGGAAACTCCTGCCTCAGTAGCGAAGAGATAAGGGACCAGAATCTCGGACAGAGCTGAATGTGAACCTAACGAGCTCTTCCAGTAACCTTTCTAAGACCCCCTCACGGTCACTCTGGGAGGCCTTCAGTGTAGGTTAAGGCATAATCTTAGTCAGATGGGAAAGCCTGGGAGAGAGGAGAGGGACCCACCATGATTAGAGGGCAAGACGGTCATTTTGGAGAACTGAGCACGTGCCTGGGTGTCTAGAAGAGACAGAGGCATCCTCAATAGGTCGAGGTCAGCGTGAGGACACTGCTTCCTAGAAAGGGCCAGGGGATGGGCAGAGTAGACTTGACTTCCTTCGTAATTTTGCTTAAGCAAGTTCAAATAATAAAGATCTGATCTTTGATGCCATGCCCTTGCTGATAACCTTCCTGTCTGCCATCACTGACCACCTGATGAAGCCTAGACTCTTTGCCCCTGCTAACGATGACCATGGTCTGCCTTGCCAACATCCTCAGACCCTTTTCTTTTACCTGTCAGCATTTATGCACCAGCCACACTGGATCTGGATTTGACTCTGGACCTCTGCATCTGCCAAACCCAATGTGGCTTGCCCTGCAGTCTTTCTCTTACTTGATTCCTCCAAACTGTTCCAGAAAGCTCTATTCAATCATCACTTGCTCTGTCTTCCCTTTATGTCCTACCCTCAACCCCTGCTGGAAATATGAGAAGCTTTAGAGGTGTTCCCTGGGACCTCCCAAAGCCCCCTCTCTGTCTGGGAATTGCTAATTTTCATCCTTCTTCCTCAGGAGGCTGTTTTCATCATCCCCATCTCTCTGGTAGCTAGCACAGGGCCTGGTGCAAGGCAGCACTTGGTGACAGCTGGATGGAATCGATAATAATTATTTCAAATTAACATCACGATGGCATGTTCTGTGTAAATCTTAACCAAATACTCTGCCTGTCTTCAAAGGGCTTCCATTCAAAAGTCCTGTGTAAACATGAAAAGATGCTCACCAGCCCTGGCCATCAGGGGACTGCAAGTCAAAACCACAATGAGATACCACCTCACACCCGAAAGGGTGACTACAAAAAACACCCCAGAAAATAACAAATGTTGGCAAGGATGTGGAGAAACTGCAACCCTCATGCACCGCTGAAGGGAATAGAAAATGGTACAGCCATTATGGAAAACAGTTTGGACGTTCCTCAAAAAATTAAATATAGTATTACCATATGATCCAGCAATTCCACTTTGAGTATGTGCCCAAGAGGATAAAAAACAGGGTCTCAATAGAGGCATCGGTACACTGTGTTCATAGCAGGGTCATTCACAACAGCCAAAAGGTGGCAATAGCCCATGTGTCCACCAACAAGAGGATGGATATACAAAATGCTGCATACAAGGATGCAAGTCCGCCTTAAAAGAAAGGAAATTCTGACATGTGCTACTGCATGGATGAACCCTGGGGACACCATACTGAGTGCTGTAAGCCAGTCACAAAAGGACGGACACTGCATGAGCCCACTTATATGCGGTTCCTGGAGCAGCCAAATTCATGGAGACAGAAAGCAGAATGATGGTTGCCAAGGGCTGGCTGGGAGGCAGGATGGGGACGCAGTGTTCAATGGGGACGGTTCCAGTTTTGGAAAATGAAAGGAGTTCTGGAGATGGAGGGCCGTGATGGTTGCATAACATGAATGTACTTACAGCCACTAAACTGTATGCTTAAAAATGGGTTAAGGTGGTAAGTTTTATGTTATGTGTATTTTACAATACATAGTAAAGAGCCCTGTGTGAGGAGTTTGAGAGCCTGGGTTCAAACCCCAGCTCTACCACTGCCCCATGACCTGGCTGGGGGTGGGAGCCTCAGTTGCTTCTGCTGTGAAATGGGGATAATTCCCAGAGCAGGGAGGCTTTTATCAGTTGAGGGCTGTTTCAGAGTGAAAGACGGTAGGGAACCTTTTCACATTACGCCTGATATTTTGTGATGAGAGTTTGTACATCTGTGGTTAAAAAAAAAAAAAAGGCAGATGCTGTTTTTGTTTCAGGAGCACCGAATCCAGCAGGGACCCTCCCAACGGGAGTGCTGCACTGGGAGGGAGCCTGGTTTAAGCACCACGTGCACATCAGGCACGCAGGGGAAGCGCCGAGGCCGGCTCACACCCTGCCAGTGAATTCCCTCTGCTGCCGACTAGCGTCTAATGACAATATTGACCTTTCCTATCTGTCAGGCTTGTCTTATTAAATCCTGAGGTCTTAAATGCTTTGCACACAGAGGCTGACAGTTTGCCCACCCAAGCACGTGTTCATGTAAAATTCATGGTGTATCGTGCTGCCTGGCAGATGAATATTTATCAGCTTTTTCATAAGAGGCAGGCTGGCGTTTCCTTTTGTTGCTACCAAAATCCTATGCTGCAGCAAATGAAATTTGTGAGCAAATAAAAAAAAAAAACAAGAATAACAAGAAGTGAAAACTCCCCAGTCCATTCTGCTTGTAATTTTCCACTTTCCGAGGCCTCCAGTGTGTGTGTGGAGGTGGTTTCGGTCTGGCTACGAGAGAGAACTGCTGAGTCGTCCAGAATAGAAGCGCTTCCATATGCTACCCCCCGCCCCCACCGAAAACTCCCCCACGCCCTACTTCTGCACAGCGGAGGAGCCCAAGCCCCTTTCAGTGGTTCCATTCCAGATGCTCCGGATGGAGAGCAAGACTGGGGGGCGCAGCCGACCAAGGATAAGGAACCCCGATGAAGCTTGGTACACAGTGGCTGGTGGCACTGGGCCAGGCAGTTCCGTGGTTTCCACAGTGGGATGCCCCCCAGGGAGGGGACAGCCCCACGCCACACCAGCTGAGGTCTGAGGTCCCCTTCCCCAGGGGTGGGACGCAGGAGCGCCACGAGAAATGCCACCATGTCTGCGGGAGGGAGCCTGTGCCCTGGTCCCTGCTCCACAAGAAAGCCAAGAAAGGACTTAAGAACTGTGCCTCCGCTGCTGGCTTTTCTCGCCTTGCGACTCACTGACTGAGGATTCCAGGCTGGGGGGTCAGGCGCACATGGGCACACTCACTGGAGGGGAGTTTCAACACAGCTGTGAATGCAGAGTCTGTGCGGCCTGGCTGCCACCTCCCTGGCCTTGGAAGACAGTGATGACGATGCCAAAGACAATCACAGTTCACACACAATGAGCCCTTACTATATGCCAGGCCCTGCGTCAAGCATATCAATTACACTATTATATACAATCCACCAAACGTTCCACTGAGGTTGGTATTACCCTTGTTCCCATTTTACAAATTAGGAAACTGAGGCAGAAAGATGGATTAACTCATCTAAGTTCACAGTCCCAGCTGGGAGACAATTGCAGGTCTGTGTGACTTGAGCCCACGCTTTCTTAACAGTCCTCCACGCAATCAAGAAACTTGAGTCCAAGGGCAAACCCACGAACGCCTGGCTGTGTGGCCTCAAGGCAATTAGTCACCTCTACGAGCCCATGTTTCCTCATTCACAAAAGAGGCCCAATGGCTCATTTTGCAGGCTGTTGTGAGGATGCACTAGGGCTTTGCAAACTGTCAAGAGCTCTGTCATCACTGATCAGCCGGTGGCTGTTCTCAACAGAAGCATTTACTGGGGGTTTAGCACTAGGAGTGAAGACTTCTGGCTCCAGAAGTTAACGGTAGAGATGGAGAAAGGGGACACACAGGGGCAGCAGTACCAGGTTAGGTACGTGTCTTCATTCATTCATCCAACAGGCAATTTATTGAGCACTTTCCATGAGCCCAAAAACACAGAGTCCCTTCAAAAAATGTTATTTCAGACACGGCTAAGTGCTACGCAGATGTTTAAATAAGAAGATGCGATGGAGAATAACACGAGCAAGATCTGAACAGCAAGATGACACCGGCCTGGCCAGGACTGGGGAGAGGCGACAGCCCTCTGTGCAAAGGCCCTTAGGGGAATGTGTGGGGCCACAAGCCCTCTCTTCACAGACTCTCGGGGTGCTGGTACCGAGTGCAATGATGGTACAGGAATGATGACGTTTCAACCTGCTGGGAGCCCTCCTACCTCGGACCCGCTCTTCCTGTGGTTCTAATTCTTTTCCTGCACTTCCTCATGCAGGGTTGCAGAAGGACCATTCTGGGGTGGGCAGTGTTGTAAGTGACACTTTAGGGAGCACAGTCTGGAGTAAGGGTGTGGGTTAAACATCACGCCACCCTCATCTTGTCCCGAGACCCGACTCTCAGATCCCAGCTGCCCCAGCTGCCCCAGCTGTCCCCGGGCCATGCCCTGCAGAACAGAAGCATCGGCGCCCCCCACCCCCACGCCCAGGTCCACATACCTTCCTCTCACCCACTCCTTCAGGTGCTGATGTGAGCTCCTTCATGAGCACAGGATCCAGCACCTGGAATCTTCGGCGGAACTGAGTGAGCCCCATGTGGTCAGCGTAGCCTGCGGTGTGGGGAGCAGGAGAAGAACAAAGAATCCAAATGAGATGCCCAGCCCAGGGGTCTACTGCCAGTCTTGCTATTCGCCTGCTGTGTGCACTCACTTCTCAGGGCCTCAGTTTCCCTGTTTGCTAATATAAGACACTGGGTTCCATCACCATTTGCCAAATGAATTCCCCAGAACACAGACTCTGTAAGAGGCTCCACTGAAAGCTTGAAAATGCTGCCCCCTCCTCTGCCTCTTGGAAGGTCATGATGTGTATCAATACCAATGTCAAAGGCTCCAGAACCTCTGCAGGGACGATGCCTGATTGGCTTGGCTTAACCCAGATTTCTCCAAACACGCTGGGCCATGAGAAAATGTTTTGATCTAATAGTTTCTACCATCCTACAGAATGCACATAGGAAACACTGCATCAGGCCATATCTAAGGGTTCTTCTAAATCTAAAGTGTAGGATGCACACAGCTGCACCCTTCTGTGTGGAAACTGAAAAGCTACTGAGAGAAGGTGACGTTTGAGCTGGGCTTTGAGGGGCTGTGAGAGTCTGCGAGAGGATTCTGTGTGGAAGGAAGTCCAGACAGAGGGAGCCAGAGCAGGAAACAGAAGGTCTGTTCCACAGTCATGGTAACACCATTTACAGAGCTTTCAAGGGTGTAAGACACTAGGATAACAACTTTCTTGTTTCATAGAGACTCTGGGGCCTGTATTATTATCCCATTAAATAGATGTGGAAACTGAGGACGGGCTGCCGGCTGCTCCCGGCTTTTCTGCCCAGCACCTCGCGCCCAGGATTCAGTATGAGTGCAGTGGGAGGAGACGAGGCAGTGACCACAAGCTGGGGTGTCAGTGACCGAGGAAATATTAAACAAGTGGGAGCCCACCTAGACGCCCATCAGCCCCAGCCACCCCATCCGCCCCAGCCACCCCATCCCCTGACTTCACCTGAGCTGTTCCTGTCAGGGAAGGGAATCTACAGGGTGGCTGATGGTGTCTCAGAGACAGAAAAAGAATGGGAAAATCTCAGAACAAACTCAGCTCAGAAGAGGAGCTAATGGGGGGACCCTGGTGCACACCTACTTTCTAAAATATGGGTCTAACACTTCATCCCTTCGATGGAAACCCCTCCTCCCCCACCACGCGCTTCACCTCCTCAGCTGGACCAGGGAAAGCCACTCTTCCAAAGGTGGTGGTAAGCCTCCCCGTGTGGGTCCACCCCTCCTCTCCCACCCTCACCCCCACTCATCGTGAACCTGGAAACCCAGGCGCCCCCACACCTCCCTGCACACAGTGCTCCCCCGGCCACGCTTTCCCTCTCCCCGCACCACCCAGAGGTGAGCAGCTGGTTTCTTCTAAGACTCAATGAAGACGTTGCCTCCTCTGGGCACACGGTACCTCCCGTATCCTGTGTGACACATGCCCTGGTCACACCATACAATCATCACCCGTTTCCATATGGATATCCCAAACCAGGCTGAGCATCCTGAAGAGCAAATATTAATCACTGAGGAAACTCCACCCTCGATTCCAAGGCCGAGGCTCCTAAGATGTTTGCTGTTGAAAGGAAGATGGGCAAGACACACCAGCCTTCCAGGTCACTGAAGCTATTGAGTCACTCAGCTGTGTCCGACTCTTTTGCCCCCCATCGGCTGGAGCCGACCAAGCTCCTCTGTCCATGGGATTCTCCAGGCAAGAATACTGGTGTGAGCTGCCATGCCCTCCTCCAAGGAGTCTTCCTGACTCAGGGATTGAACCTCTGTCTCCTGCATTGCAGGCAGATTTTTTTTTTTAACCACTGAGCCACCAGGGAAGCCCAACCTTCCAGGAGTGCGCAACTAATTCAGGAACGGTTGGACTTGGGCTCAAAGAGCAAGTCCCAGGAGTTAGCAACAAGGTGTTTGCTCCCTGCTGGCCTCTCACCTGCTCTGTGCAGACGCAGCACCTCCAGGATGTAGGATCCTGCAAGCTGCACCCTCAGTGCGGGGATGTCTGAGGGGAGGGACCAGCCCGCCTCAGGCTTGTCTCCACCGGGCTGTGGCGGAGTCGGAGACCCGGGCCCACCTCTGCTCTCCACCGCTGCGCTTGGCACCAGGCAGTGGATGAAGTGTAACTGCGACCGTCTGATCACGCTGATCAATGCATCCTAGGACCAAGAAGAGATGGGGTCAGGGCCAGGGTGAGACAGACTGGGGTCTGGACACTCCACAAACATACATTCAGTCTGGCCTGAGCACCTCTGGAGGCCCCTATGTCCTACCACAAGGGCCTCTCATCCATGGCCCGATTTGTGCTCATGAGAAATAAAGGACCTCTATAATGATCCTTATTATCATAGATGGAGAAACTGGGACATGGAGAGGACAAATGAGTGGCTCCAAGCAGAGGGCCCTGTCACCCAAGAAGAAAACTAGAGCCCAGGACTTGGGCTGAGGGCTTTCCCAGGATAAGATGCTACGAGTTGTCTCCTCAAGCCCCCCCTTCCCGAGTCTCCCCCTTCTGAGCTCAACCTAATCTCTTGTTACTGGATTACCGTGTCCAGGTAACATCTTCACACCAGTGCTGGGTCCAACACCCTCTCTACGGGGAGCCTGGAGGTGGACATGCCGGCCTTTGAGAGGTGAGGGAGGGAGGCAGGCAGGACAGTGCTGGCTGCGATGTTTGTCAACTTGGTCAGGAAGGCGACCTGTTTCCTGCCAACTTCCTGAAGCTGCTCAGGTGAAACCAAGGAGCTGAGGCTCAGGCCTCAGACTGGGATGGGTCACTGTGCTGCCCTGAGCCTCGGTTTCTTCCTCGGTGGAGCATGGGGGTTGGCTGCCTGTCCCTTCAGGCCCGCTAGGGAGCTCAGGGCTGGTGAGCCTGGATAACTCGCCCTGCAGGCGGGCAGGGAGGCCCCCACCCTGTGGGAACAGCACCCCGCTCACCATCTGCAGCTTGATCTGGGAGCAGGGGGCTTTCCTCTTCACCGCGGCCAGGCTGCTGGCGAATGTCCTCCGCACCGCGCAGTTCCGCTGCTGGGCCTGCTGGGAGGTGCCCTCCAGGCCGGCCACGGCCCGGCACACAGGGGACAGCTTGGCCCGGGACTGGAACAGGCTCCTCAGCTCCTCCCTGGCAGGTAGGCGGGGAGAAAGAGAGGGGCTTCAGGGGGGTTGGGGGCGAGCGAAGGGGACCCCCTTGCCTCTGGACATCTGCTTCCTGAAACCATGTCCTAGCTGCCAAGTCTGTTCATAGTCCCTTCTGCCAGATGATCCTTTGTTTGGGGACAAACGCCAGCATCTTCCTCCATGTCTCTCTCCCTCTCCTGACCTCAGAGCATCTTCCTTCTATTGGATGTTTCCGTCACTTACATACCTGCAGGAATTCTACCCAGCTGACACTTTCTTAGAGGGTAAAATCATCTCGGTTATCTCTAGAATGGGTCTGGGCACATCAGGTGCTTAGTCTGATTTGAGGACCAAGGAGACCCTACCAAGCCCCAGGATGAAGCTGGGATCCAGGGGAGGCCTTAGGCTCTCTGGCTGCCCCAGCCTCTCCCCTCCAGTAGAAGCCTGTGGCAACTCCCTTGCAAATTCAGGCCCCACCCAGACCATCCCTCAAGACCCTCATCCATCCCTGCTCTGTGCCCAACTGACTTCACAGCCATTAAGAAAATGAGTCTTGCCAGATGCACCGAGGCTGTTGAAAGTGGTTCCATGCCTTGCGGAACACGCAGGCTAACAATGGTACAAAGATGCTCATGTTGCAACAAAAGCCTAGGGAGACAGCCTGGAGAGGCCCCCTGGAAGCGGGAGCCCTGAGAAGGAAGGCTGTGGGCACCCCACCTGGTACAGGGAGAGAAGGTGGTGCCCACAGCCCTGACCCTGCATGAGGATGGCCCCATCTGTGGGCCCATCTGTGGTGCTGGGAGACCCGGCCTTGGGTCTGCAACGTGCGCTGTGGCCTGGGGCAGTCACGGGTCCTCTCTGGACCTCCTGACACACAGCACAAAGGTTGAGTGGGCATGAGCACCTTCCGGTAACCACCCCCTGCAGCATCCTGAGAGACTAGACGGAGTAACCACCCCCTGCAGCATCCTGAGAGACTAGATGGGCCCAGGAATCAAAAAGCTACACAAGCTGTCCTGGTGAATCAGGATCCTGACTGTAGAACCACAGGCTAAGAAGAAGCGCTGTCTGCCTTCAAACTCACCAACCCATGGCTCTCAAGTCTGCAAGACACCCTGCTGGGATTTACTGCCACACCTGCTGTACTCTCCCACCCAGGAGCACACACTGCTCCTTGTCTCAGGAAGTCCCACACTCACCAGGACACCTGGCTAACCAAGGTGTGCCCGCCCTTCCTCAACTCTACACCCCTCACTCAGCTTGAGGGTTTCTGAGCAGCAGGGTGATTTACAAGGAGGCCACAAGAGGTCTGTTGAGGGGTAACCATGAACCAGGTTCCTTAATAAGCCATCCACTCTGTTATGTCACCAAAGCCTTACATAACACTTGTAAGCTTGCAGCATCATTCCCACTTCTCAGACTGTAAAACTGAGGCCCAGGTCATGCAGCTTGAAAAAGGCAAAAGCAGAATCTGAGCATCTGCCTGACTTTAGAGCTGTGCAACGTGGCCTCGTCCAACAAACCCTGAGGTTGCAGAGGAGGAAGCGAGAAACGCGGAGGAGGGCAAGAGGCTGCCCCCCGACACCCAAGGGACGCGGGGCTGGCTGGGACTGGACTCAGGTCCCCCGGCTCCCCATACCGCACTCTGGGTTTGTCACCCTTCCTTCTGTCTGTTACCCTTCCCCTGTCCTCTGACTAGATCTCTCTCTGGGAGCTGTGCGCCCCTCAGCTCCCACTAGATTTTTCCAATCAGCTCTGACCACGAGGCTCTGAGAACACCTTCCAAGGATTACTTATACCCAAATTGTATTCTGGCTCTACCACTCTTTGCTATGTGGTCAAATATGAATCACTTCACCTCCTGGGGCCTCAGTTTTCTCATTTATAAAATGGGGCTAGGGACACAGTTGTTGTAAGGATTAAAAAGACCCTTATAGGAACTTCCCTGGTGGCCCAGTGGCTAAAAGACATTGCTCCCTATGCAGCGGGCCAGGGTTCGATCCCTAATCAGGGAACTAGATATGCATGCTGCAACTAAAGACACAGCACAGTCAAATAAACAAGTAAATGCGTGTGCATACACACATTCCCCAACAAGCATTTCCAAAGGCTCTCTGAATTCAAGGCAGCCCTCTGCCAGCACGTCTGAGCAGAGCAGTCAAGAAATGCAGTCAGCTTTTTTTAGGCTGCAAAAAGTTATCACTTCGGTTTTATGATCCCCTAGTTGGAGGATGTCCATAAAAGTTCTTCCAGTCACATCATCTCCCAGATACTTAATGAAAGGCCAGAAGCCAGAATAAGAAGTCACAGCTTCCAAGCTTTTGTCCCACCTCCCCAGACGCCGGCTTCCTCCTTGGCTGGACTCGGGCCAGTCCCAGGAGATGCTGCGTCACTCCTGTCGAGTTACAGGTCTTCGTGTCATTAGGGAAGGGTCCCCGTAGTGGCCCTCCATCACTGACTGGGCTGCAGTGACTGCATGGCCCCAGCACCTCCAACGCCCCCCCTCCCATCCCCAGCCCTGGCTGGGCTCACCTGCTGGAATGCTGCAGGACCTGGGGGGCGTCCAGAGCTGCAAGATTGGGTTTAGCCTTGTGGAGCCAGCCCGTGAGGTCATAGCGCACGGGGTCGTGTCCCAGCTGGTGGGCAATCTCGCACTGGAGGGGCTGCTCACAGATCCGGAGGGCAGAGGTTCCTGCAAGCAGACACACGGCATGAGTGCTGGGGCCTGTGCGGGGGGGGGGACATTCTGTCATCGCCTGGCGCCGCTGAGAACACGCTGCTCCCATTTTAACATGATTCAAACTATCGGTTCTGGGCACCATGTTTCCTCTGCTTTGTGCGTTTACATGCACGGCTTCCAACCTGTGTTCTGTTCCTCCTTGCTTCCTCTGTCAGTTTTTCTGATGTGGACTGTTTTTAAAGTCTTTATTGAATTTGTTACCATACTGTTTTACATTTTGGCTTTTCAGCTTGGAGGCATGCAGGATGTTAGTTCCCTGAACAGAGATCTAACTTCTGTTCTAACCCACGTCCCCTAGATTAGAAGGTGAAGTCTTAACCACTGGACCACCAGGAAAGCCCCTCCTCCTTGCTTTCTTAAATCTAAGATACCTGCATTCCCCAATTACCATTAACACATACCATCTTTGTGATTTTAGCCAGACCCATGAATCACCTGGACTGTTATTTAATGTTTTTTTTCAATTGGCTCAGTTTTACAGGTAAAATCCATTTGTAAAGAAGCATTATATTGCAGGTTTGGTGTGCCAGCTATATTTACTTTCTAATATTCATGGAAATAAATACACGATTATTAAATATTTTGACAATATGTGTAGATGCCACTTAAAATTGCCTG